TGGATGCTGGTACCAAAAGTGTGATTGTAAAGTCAAGCAAACTGATAAGAACAATAAATGACATAGTTGAACCTCTACATCTTGTGATCCCTAAGCGTTATACTATATTAGACAAAGTTCTAATCAATAGGCCTTTTATTGTAAGACCTACCTTCCCTCTGTAACGTGTTTGGTGCCACTATTAGAGCCTCTACGTGTAATATTACTGCTTTTCAATTTTTGACTCATGTACTTTTAACTTGTTAGTTAAATTTGTGTCTTCTAGGCTGCAACACTTCCATGTTACATCTTCAAGGATATGAACATGCACGGCTAACCACAACTGATAAGAGTGCATCTAAATTTCAAAATCAATCTCCATAATAGTCTATGTGTTTCCTATTGCCAAAGGGGCCCTTTAGAGTAGTGAGAGAAGATCTTCACCCTGAAACCTACAGCGTCCCTTTCCGGCAGGAAGTAGCTAAGAGAATACGCCGTCCCCTTTTCCTTATGAATCAGGGTGAATTCTCTCTCAAGGAGGAGTGATAGGGAATGGCAAAGGACACACTGACAAAGGAGATTAAACAGAAGTAGCTTTGACAATCACTGTGGCAATTGGACAATTAAAAGACTTTCAAAGGGGAAAAAAGAAGAACAAACTGGGGAGGAGGGTAGAGAAAACAGTGCAACAATGAATGAATGAAAACCCCAAATCTCTGTAAATGTTTATTAAAATTAATAAAATTTTTTTAAAAAGTCAAGCAAACTGAAGCTGTTAACAATCTCAATCTCTTCACCATCTATCAAGATGCTGTCAATTGGTTCAGTGGTAAGAATCTTTGTTTTCTTGATGCTGAGCTTCAATCCATATAGAAGGCTGCAGTTCTTGTCCTTCTGCAGCTAGTACTTCAGATCCTCCACAGTTTTGGCAAGCAAGGTTGTGTCAACTGTTGTTGTTAAATGCCGTCGAGTCATAGACAACTTATAGCATCCCAACGAACAAAAGTGCATGACTTTCATCCTTTCTCCAGGCTCACTGGGTTTCCAGAGGCGATCTGTTTACAGAAGTGGATGCCACTCCTGCTTCCAAGTTTGTTTCAACCAGGGAGCGCCACCAAACACTGTCCACCGTGGGTAACAGTTATTGCATTTGACACATCAGTTTCACTGTGTTCTGTAACCACAAGTTACCTCTGTGTGGCAAGTGGACACACCAGGGCTATAAGACCTAGAAGACTGTTTGAAAAAAAACAATGAAAAACACACCTTAGGGTCATGGATTACAGTCACCCACCTTTGGCTTGGTAACATCGCTTTCGGTCCATTAGGCCAACAGGTCTCTCTCTGTGTTGTTAAGTGCCATCAAGTCATAGGTGACTCATAGCAACCCTATGAACAAAAAGTGCTTGACATCTGCATGCGCAACTTACATCATTTCTCCACCTTCATAGGTTTTGGGAGGCAAGCTATTATGGAAGTGGATGCCACTCCTGCTTCCAAGCTTGTTTCAACCGGGGAGTGCTCCCAAACACTGTCCACCGTGGGTAACTGTTACCGCATTTGACACATCATTGTCATCTGTTGTTGTTGTTATTGTTAAGTGCCGTCGAGTCACAGGTGACTCATAGCGACCCTATGAAGGAGAGTCCTCAGTGCTTGGATGTCTCTCATCCACTCTCCAGGTTCACAGGGTTTTCAGAGGCAAGCTATTACGGAAGTGGATGCCACTCCTCCTTCCAAGCTTGTTTTAATCAGGGAGCTCCACCCCACTAACACATTTGACACATCAGTGTCACAGTGTTCAGCCTCACAGCAACCACAAATGACCGCTGTAC